TATTTTTCTTTTTCTTTCTGACTTACTTCACTTAGAATGACTATCTCTAGGTCCATCCATGTTGCTGCAAATGGCATTACTTTATTCTTTTTATGGCTGAGTAGTATTCCATTGTATAAATAAACCACATCAGTCATCTGCTGATGGACATTTAGGTTGCTTCCATGTCTTGATCTTGCCATAACCTTAAGCAGCACTTTTTTTGCTGCTTAAAATGTTTTATTTTTCTTCTCCCTCAAAGTTTTTTAAAAGATTAGTTGCTTTTAACAAATAATGGAAAGCGTAATGGAGACAACAGCAGAGATAGAGTCACCTGATATCATTGCTATGAGATTTAATTCAGCCCAGCCTGTGTGAGACCTTGTCTTGGGCCTTCAGCTCTACTGAACTCCAATGGTGGTGGGCAGTGGTAGATAGCACAGGTGCTATGTGATTGAAGACTTCCTTGTCAGAATACAGAGATTGCCCATAATTTGTCAAGCAGTGAAGACTGACTGGAGATTACAAGGAAAAGATGGGGAGGGTTATACTTACAAAATAAACTCTTAGGAAAGGAACTCAGTAATTTACCTACTGTGACGAACTAGTAACTAAAAGAATTTAGAATAAAGATATTGAAAGACAGTATCTCTAACTCAGGCATATACTGATAATATCATCTATAATCAGACTTCAAAAATCAGATCCTCAGTGATATGTCAGAGAGCCTATAAGTGCAGGTGAAAGCTCACCTAGAGGCGAGTGGGGGGGTGGTAAATCTGATCAGTAGCTTTCAAATATTTTTAATAGTGAGCACTTAAATTTACAAATAAAAAAGATGCAACCATACACAACATTTCACTAAGACCAATGAAAGCAGAACTGCTCTGATAATGTGGGGATGGGGACATGTTACCCAGCATGTCTCAGTATGGCCCCCGGGCTTCCCTGAACAATTTTAGGGCATTACCCAACACAAGCAAAGAGAAGTAAATGATTTCTCCAGGTCCTCTACATTTCCTCAACAATGATAAAACAGCCTGGCCTTTATGAATATGTGACCTTAGATTGTTGCCAGTCACCAAATTAGCCAACACCACCAAAGTACGTGATTATTCCCAGTAACTCCTTGTTGGGCTGCATGCCACAGGCCTGCAAGCCCTGTACTTGCCCATCAGCGAGACCGAAGAAAGAACCTGGAGTCAGCAACTGAGGTATCAATGGTTTAGTGGCTAAGGGGAGCTTACGTGTCTGAAGAAAGATCCTGGAGTGACACCCCATCGCCTACAGCAGACAGAGGCAGGCAAGACCTGGAGCAGCCTTTACTCCCAGGGCAAGGAGGAAACCGGTTATAGGGGGAATTGACGTCAGGCTGACTTCCCGTTACCCGGGAAACTAGCAGAGGGGCCCGCCCCTCACCGACCCTTTGATAAGCTCTCCAGGTGGTGATGTTCTGATCTAAAGAGTAGAACACTTACTAGCTGGGGCAGGGGGCCAGTATGTAGGAAGGTCAGTCAGGTGAGTAGGCTGTAGGTGAAGCAGGCACTGGTCGAGAAGGGGATGTACAGACAGCAAGAGATCTTGGGTGGCCTGATCATACACCGCCCCCCACCCAATACTGCATAATCTTATCAGAGTAACTGCATATAAAATAAGCAGAAAACTACAGAAACATCGTAAAATGACAGTGCTGAGTAGTTCCCAAGGCTCATTGTTAACCTACATTAACTTGTTCATTCACATCAACCTAGCATATATAACTGTTCAGGTAGTTCTTTGCACAGTTTTTTATATAATCCCAGTTTTGATTTAATGTTGGATTTAGTATTTCACTTCAAATTGTGCATAAGCATAATAGAAACTAAATACAACCCACAATTTCATTCTCAACTTTAGAAATTATGGAAACATAATGATTTTGTGAAGTCCATGTTTCAATTCCATATGTACTCTTAAAGTATGTTGAAATTTTTGAATCAATGAAATATCAAAATTGAATAAATTAAGGGTGTCCATGATCAAAATACACATACACTCAGATGCAAAAATGCAAACTAAGAGTTTCTCTAAGGAATTCAAAATGCTTCACAGATGATTGTTTATCATTCATGTTAATGAAGGGCAGATGATCTTCATTTTAGCTAATGGCTGTAATTTTCCACCCTGCCAAATTTTTTACTGACCCCACTGCTAAATAATTTAAGCTTAATGTGCTCTTTCTCCCTTTGCATCATCCTTTGAGGGGGGAGCTAGTGAATAATAAAAACACAGAATTGGACAATAGATCTAAAAAGGTCAAAAAAGAAATTCTGAATGGTCCATAACTTGTATAATCAATAGGTGACTACCCTATTTAATCTCATAATTCTCTTGTGAGCTTGAATGGGAAGATGCAATTTGCCAATAAGGAAACAGGTGAAGAGAATATATTCACTATGCTAACTCCACATGATTTGTCCAATGTCACCCTGAGCTAAGACTTGGCATAGAATTGAGTGATTATTGAGATAATCCAAACAGAGCATTGGATTACTTAAGAACCAGACGAATCTCCTCATAAAATTTAAAAATAGGGCTGGTGCGCATGTTGGCTTTGTACAAAGATAATTTTGTCAAAAGATACAATTATTAACTCTGAGAAAAACAACTTCTTTTAAAATAGCCTTAGATATTTTAATTTAAACTAAAAAAAATTTTTTTTTTCCTTTTAAACTCAGGGCACTGTTATGCTAGATGGAGCGGCAACATTCAGACCTTACCTTCAAGGGACTTTAAATCTAGGAGAGAGCATAAAATGTATGTTAGTAGTTATTAAATGCTCATATGCAATGTTAGTGCTGCAAGGGAGATACAAAGAGGATGGAGTGCTTATGTTCAGCTTGGGACCTGATAAGAGGTTGGGTAGGGATATAGATGAAACAAGACTGGGCATGAATTGATAATTATTGAAGCTATCTAATGGGTACGTTACATTATTTTGTCCATCTATTAATTTTTTTCATAATAAAAGTGCTTCTTAAAAAGTCTTCCTTAATGAGATGGCATTTGAGATAGACTTTGGCAAAAGGGCACTAGCCAGTAAACCAAGAAGTATGGGTAGAAATAGCAAGATCCTGACATGTAATTGGAAAAGCCCTAGGCTGACTAGATTGATGTTGTACTGCTTAGGTAAAGCATAGAGTATATACTGGGGCATAGGAGAATGGGATAAAACTAAAAATTATTTTTATTATTATTTCAATGACTTTGAGTATAAAATTGTGACATTTAAAATTATTACAGCAGTTCATAGTGGCTTTAGCATGATTTGATTAAAAGTTTCGATTATAGGGGAAATTAAGAGGCTGAAGTGAAGCAGATATGAATCCAAATTCCAGTAAGAAGAACTTTACAAAGTTGAAGAGAGGCTGTGCAGTCCAGAAAAGAACAGGGACATGGAATAGAAAGTCCAGGAGAGGAGCTGAGAAGGGGAATATTAGGACACTCGATTGACAGAGGACAGAGAATGTCAAAGATAAATTCAAGATTTTGTTTCCAGTCTGGGTGCACATAAGCCAGGATGGTCATATCCAAATTAGTGAAGAAGACAAAGTAGCTTTTAGGCATCACTAGTCTGAAGGGCTAGGAGGAGGACAACTAGACAGAGGTGACCAAAAGATGCCCTCCACAAGAGAGAGGATTGGGAGAGGAGAGAAACTTGGGACTTCATATGGAACTAAGCATTGAAGCACAAAATTGCTGAGCAGGTGAGTAAGTAAAGAGAAGACAAGAGGGCTGAGAACAAAATCTTGGGGAGTTAAGGGTTTGGTTTGATATAAGAAAAAAGAGCTAAAGACAGAAGAGAACTCAGATAGTAATACCACTACTAACATCTTGTATTTACTAAAGATCGGCTAACAAGAAACAATGTCAAATTTAAATGGCTTAAAACCATGAAAGTTTATTTCTCACTCAAGCAAGAGTCCAACACGGATATTTCTCCTTAGGCAGTTCTTTTCTTAGCGGCAATGCAGGGATTCAGGCTCCTTCCCTCTTGTGACTTTGCCCTCCTCTGGGTCCCTAAAGTCCTTCTCATTCAGCCAAAGGATGGTGAAAGCAAATAGGGAAATCATGGATGGGAAGGTTTGATGGTCAGCCCTGGAAGTGATGTCTGTCACTTCTGCCCACACACATTAGCTAAAAGTTAGCCACTAAGCTGCTCCAAAACGCAGGGTATTCTTAGTCAGAAACTGTCACATCTCATGTTTGCATCATACAGTTTTTAGAGGATTGTCTCACACTTCACTATATAGTACAGTTTCGTGGAGGTCAGTAAAGCCCAGTGGTTAAATGTATGAACTCTGGAGTTAAAATCACTTGGATTTGTTTCCTGGCTTCACTATTTGTAGCATAAATATCACCTAGAATAAAGTAATTCACCTCTCTGTACCTCATCTGTAAAATGGTAATAACAGAATATAACCCATAGGATTGTTAGGAAGATTAAATGAGTTTAACAAATGTACAGTATTTAAATAGTGCTTGGCATGTGTCTGGCATGTAGTAAGTTCTTGGTAAAGATTAGCTATTATTATCATATTAGAACTATCACATTAAGATTATAGCAATTTACTGGTGGAGTGGGCATTAAATAATATGACATGTAGAGAGGTGGTAGCAGGGGCCAGAGAAGAAAAAGCCATCAATTTGTCCATTAAGCTGTATGAATAATTACAAAAAATTCTGCTTTTTTAATAGTTGTTTAGCACCAGCCAAACAAGAGGTGAAAGACTCTGGATTTCTAACGCACAGCAATTTTCAGTTAATATGTCTAGAACTGCAAAATAAATAACCTCTAAGCAAATCAGATGGCATCACAGTCAAGTTAACTCCTAGAAGGTTCAGGTGGGGTCTTATTTCGAAGTTCTCATATTGAGGTAAATAAACCATGCCTTGGAAGGAGAGTGCTATCAATTTGAGATTCACTTTCTAGCCTTCCTTCTCCCAGGACAAAATCTTTTAGTAGGTCACAACCAGAGGACCTGAGTCAGTTCACTTCGCCTGAGCAAGCACTTGACTATACTTTGCGTATACATTAGTGTAAGCATGAAAATTGCCTATGGGTGTTTATTTTTGGAAGGCTCTCTTCCCTCTCCAGCTTCTATGCTCCCTCCTTATCCCCATTAAATAATCTTCCCATTTTGTCACTTTTGTGGTCTCTTGGTAAATCTTCAAGTATTCGTTTTATTAAAAATTCTATTTTAGAATTAAACCTTTTGCTCTGAAAACTGTAGATTCACAAACTCATATGTTGTAAGTAATAATACAAAGATCCAATATACCCTTTACCCACCCAGTTTCCCCCAATGGTAACATGGTACTAGTACAGTGTAATACAGCACACAATACAATATCACAACCAGAATATTGCCATTGATACAGTCAAGAAACGAAACATTTCCATCACCACAAGGATCCCTCTTTTGCCCATTTATAAGCACTCCCAGTTCCCACCTACACCCATCCCTTCATCAACCCCTAGCAATCACTAATGTGTTTTCTATTTTTACGGTTTTTGTCATTTCAAGAATGTTATATAAATGAAGTGAAGTAAGCCAGAAAGAGAAAGAAAAATACCATATGAGATCGCTCATATGTGGAATCTAAAACACAAAAACAAAAACAAGCAAACAAACAAAAACAAAGCATAAATACAGGACAGAAATAGACTCACAGACAGAGAATACAGACTTGTGGTTACCAGGGGGGTGGAGGGTGGGAAGGGATAGACTGGGATTTCAAAATTGTAGAATAGATAAACAAGATTACACTGTATAGCACAGGGAAATATACACAAAATGTTACGATAAATCACAGAGAAAAAAATGTGACGAGTGTGTATATGTCCATGA